ACCTAGCCTATAAAACAGTGCTCACCTGCGTGAGCTGAGGAAGGACGGGTTTGTCACAGCAATGTTTCTCTCGCCAGTCATTCAAATCAATAATACACCCCTTTGTCCTGCTTGTATTTTGTGGGCAAGAAATACAATATACACAACTCTGAGGAGGCAGGGTCTGTTAGTCTTGCAATTCTGTATAGGAACAGGGAGATGAAATATTTCCTACATTTTTCCAAACAAGTTAAATATCACAACCTTTCCATTTTATTATTAACATGAATTAACCTTATGTACTAGAAACTGATACCACTGCACTAAAGTGCTGCTACATTCAAGTTTTAATACAGATGAGGCCCAAACACGTATCTGCAAAAAGTACCTTTCTCCTGATGTCTGCAACATCTCAGGTCTTAGTATTTCAGTCTAGGTCATCTATGTCAACAGTAAACTAGAAATATCTTTCGCTTTGTCTTGTGGACATCTCAAAGCCCTTCAAAGATGATCATATTATTTCTGAACTGGAGAATCTAACGGAAGGAAAAACCAGAATGATTTAAGGAAACAAGTTTTCTATAACTATATGCTGCCATTTTTCAAGATTAACTGCTTTGAGAGCATTTCTAAATTTGATACATGTAGAATTAAACTGTCATTCAAACACCTGCTATTTGCCAACAATGCACTGCAGGAATTTTTTAATATTTCAAAGGCATGCAGAAGCTTCAATCAAGAAGCAGAACAACATGCAAGGCAATCCCTGACTGCACGCTGGTTCTGGGATAGATGATTAACAACATAAATTGAAAAAAAAAAAAAAATTTCCTCTCACGATGTATGCTTCAAAGTAACTGCTACTTCTCATCTTACTCCTTACACAAGCAGAATGCCAAAAACCTCCTCTCTGCTCTGCCAGGCCTGTAATGACTGTTTCATCGCTTTTGTCTTAACTCATCCTTCCACTCAGCGATTTTCACTTCGTGGCCTGGATTTTATTTAACAATTCTGTTGGGGGGAAGGAGGGTGTGTCTTTTTAGATCCTTCACCTGAGTACCATCAGGTTGAGTAGTACAAAGGCCTCTACTTTCCCTAGAAAATGTCAGGAGTCAGCAAAAATAATAGGGGATTAAAAATCACCAACTGAAAGCCTGGTAGTTCTACATAGCACAAAACTTACTGTGTCTTGCAATGCTTCTTTGGCTGCCATACAAAAAAAAAATACACTGTATCTCCTACTTCCCCCCAAACTTTGGGTGAACTTTTGTCTACTATCTGAATCCTATCTGTGTTATTTTGCCCAGGATTATTACTGTAGGCAGTTGTGTAGTTACCAGAGGCTACCCCGAGCCTTACTGAATATGGGCACACATACAAAAAGTCCACGGCATTTTCCAACCTTTTAGAATACTCTCAGTACTCCAAGACCAGTAAAAACAAACACGGAGGGCCAGCAATCACCACAAGCAACTCCTGGAAACTGGGAGGAAATTACCAAGATTTAGTGATTTTTTTTAATTTAAGCCTATTTAAGCCCATTCCTGATAAAACAGAACACTTAACATTTTCCACTTAATAAGTGGAAACACATGGAAATGTTGGGAGAAGTACATTATCCTACTTGTTTCCAAAAAGAAAGTATTTTTAATACTTCTGACGTTCCTGTAACATCCTTTCTGTTACAAAAACACAAAGGACAAACATAACTGCAGCAGCTATGTCACAGCTGAAGAGTCCTTCTAGGTCCATTCAGTTCAGTCTGTCTCTTAAGTCTTGACAGGCATGCATTCCCAATGTGAATTTTAAAGGGTTTTTAATGTTTGGGGGTTTGGTTGGTTGGTTTGTTTTTTTTCTTTTTGAGCTAAGTTTTAATACAAAATCTCTTTATTTCCTCTATAAGCATAAATAATTTAAAGCTTTGCTACACAGAGCAAAAGAAAAAATATAGATAATTCTCTCACATTGCAGTAACTGAGTAAGTTTTAGAACATACCTGCAAGTCAGATGGTAACAGATCACCAGGAGCTCTACACCTTTAAAACGCAGTTACTGTACAACTAATAGCAGGGAATAAAGTATCCCTTTATTTAACCTGGTGAACTTGAAGCCTAAAACTAGTGTTTTAAGCAAACTGTTACACAATTTTGAAAACCCACAATGAAAACATACTGATGGACAAGGACAGTACGATCGATAGTTCATCTGAATTCTCACAGAAGTATTTTGCATGAGCTTCCCCAAACAACTTTAAAGAAAAGCTCACTTTCTTTTGTGAATCAGCAGCTTGTTAAAACATAAGAAATAAATCAAAAGCAAATAAAAAAAATAAATAGAAAAATGCAGCTAGTAGGGTCCCAAAAGAAACAGTGCTGCTTAGTGTATTTTAAGCAATCTCAGAAGAAACATGAATAGCAAGGTAGCAACGTTTACTCGTGACAGACAAATTCTTTAGCTTAAACCTAGCAAAGCTGTCACAAACGGCTGCAGAAGGATTTCACGTTCATACGCAGCCAGACAATGAAATGGCAGATGTAACTCGGTGCTGACAAAAGTGAAGTCCTAATCACGGGAGAAAACCTACCGCTGAACAACAGCCAGTAAGTTAGTTATCATCACTCCGACCAGGGACCTGCAGCCATCCAGTACTTCCAGACAGAACTGCCCTAATCTTTATTATGAGCACACTAGGAAAATAAATATCTGCAGCTTTTATAAACATCACCAACAGGTACGTGAGCAGCAAATGCATCACCTCAGGTGAATCCGTCTTTCTGAAAAGAGCACAAGCAGGGGATACACCATCTGCCCCTGTCCACTAAGTCCAGACTGGCAAATCCTGTCCTCAGGGCTCGGTTCAGTCTAACCCAGGAGCTTTCTGGGACCCGCCAATGTCTCGGCGTCCTCTGGATCCTCAGGAAGCCTCATTCTCCACCAGTTGTGAAGCCAGGCTGTCCATCTGTCCCTTGGTCATCCGAGAGGCATCCCACGCTCTCCTGCGCTGCACGTTCCTTCCCTGCCGAACTGGCACACACTCACACTCTCCCGCCTGCCCCATCCCGTGTGCTGGGAAGTTCCTCCCCCAGGTATGCCCCGATGATCCCAGCAAGGAGCCACGTCCCCTCCTTCGGAGGGCTTCGCCTGGCCCGAGTGCCACAGCCGGGCCAAAGCAAACAAGCAGATCTCCTCTGTGATGCAAAGCAATTCTTTTGCAGAAACGAGATATTTTAACATACAAACAGAACAGATCCAGTTTGTTACAGCCATTTGGAAATGATTTTGGAGCCACTGTTCAAGGATCTCAATATAGAGCAGCAGCCAAAGAGGTAAAAGTAATGTCAAAAGTTATTACAAGAAAGAATGAGCAAGTAAACAGAAGGCATGACATCATTTGACTATCGTGTGCTTGCATCTCAAGTGCTGGTCTGGTTCGCTTCTCTCAGAAGAGACAGCAGAGCTCAAACAAGTACAGCTGGTCTGATTAGCTTCTCTTAAATGAGATCGAGTGGAATGAGAAACAGCACAGCTTCTAATGGAAGATGCATTAAATTCTACTTCATCATGACTACAGCTCAGAAAAGCAACAGAGAAAAGCTTGAATGGTATTAAGGAGGTGAACAGACAGATATTCACAGCTTCCTATTAACCCAAGCATGAGGACAGCTCACCAAATTATCAAGCAGCCAACAGGCAGAATGAAACACTAATTATCTTCTGCATGGGAAGAAGAAACCCTGTGGAACTTCCTCCCATTGATTACACCAGTTCATAAAAAACAGGTTTATAAAGGCCCTCAAATGTTTTACAGCCACCTCCATTTCAGAAAACTCAGTAGCCTGGGTGACTGTCAGAAAGTGGGAGTGCCTACCCTACATTTATGCTGTTCTGAACTTCCCCCAAGCACATCGTAGGAATCGGAGGGTCCCGAGCCAGCTGGATCTCAAGGATGACTGTCCTTTGCCAGACGGGGCTACACTCTTATTTCCAACCACTGGGTTTTACTTCTCTGTATCTCACTGGCACAGATGACTGCAAATGTCTGGGTACCATCCACGTGCTCTAGTTCCTAGATGGCTTCCAGAACAATTTTCACCACTTTCAAGCCATCGGGTTTGACATGCAACATAACTATAACCAACTCCATCAGCAATAGCATCTCTATTTACAGCTCAACTAAAACCTGCACTTTTCTGCAGCAAAACTGAGAGTGCCCTCCTCCTTTCAGGAGCTTTAAGAACGCTTTTAATTCATAACCTATTCCCCCCGGGAAACCCCGCTTTACCTAAAATCTCTTGCCTTTGTAGCATTAAGCAAGCTTGTCCTAACTGAATTACTGACAGAGAAATGACCAAGTGAGCCAGCTCCACTGCCAGCACCAGGAAGGATCGCAGTGCTCCCACAGGCAGCCCGTCCACCTCCAAATAATCCTGAGGCAGTGAATCCCCAAAGTAATTACATGCTGCATGAGAGGGTAATTCCTCTTGTTTGCTTTAAACTGCCTGCTTGATAACTTAGTTGGATGCTTCCAATTTCTCACCTTACAAAGCCAGTGACTAATCACTGCCCATTCACTTTCACTACCCCAATGACAAAACGTACGACCTGTCATTTCCATAGTGTCACTTCTCGGAAGAGCCACAAGCAGTTCCCAGAAGTAGAGATAGCCACCAGAAAGAAAAAAGGAAGTTCCATCTCCTTCCCACACTTATGTACATTACATTGGAGCTCAAGTTTTGAGAAGCACCTACCAGTTAAACCTGGTTTAGCGAGTAACCTGACCAACACACCATGACTAGACCGCAGATTCAACAGCAGCAGAAGAACTGAGCTTCTCAGGTGTATGGAACCAGCTCTGAATCACATCAGCAGGACCACCCCAGTGACACTGCAGTTCCCTCTCAAATGACTCCAGGTATTAAATACCAAGAACAATCTCCCTAACCACCACCAGAACACAGAATATAGCATTATAAAGCACATTGCCATTACTGAGCTTAAAAAGGAAGGGTAGACGTGCATACCTTCAGTAGAAGTTATTTCAAACGTGAAATCTTCTCCACGGACAGAGAAACATTTGGGTTACAGTTCCTGGAATATACCCAGCTTCAGAAAATTGTTTTCATCCAGTGTGAATTCTTTCTCAAGCTTCCTATCCTGGAAAATATTTTTAAAAGTTACTATTAACCAAAGGTAACTGAAGGCCAAAGATTTTTTTTTTTCCTAAACAAATTTCCACATAACTTTTCAGCCCAAAGACAAATTTCAGCAAGACTGCAGGTGACTAGCACTCTTTGCAAAGCCATCACCACCACCAGGTCAGCCATACTCCGTCCAGTTCCCCCCCTTCTGCAGCACTGGTGTCCCTCCCCACCGGGCTGTGACAGCGCAGGGGTTAACAGCCCCTTCCCTCCATCGCCCTCAGACTCAGCTGTGAGACTTGTACCTCGTTCAAGAACACATATTTGTTTTCTTGACATCACTTCAAAAGAAAGTTATAGGTCGTCAAGGAAACCTAACGGTCATTTTCACATGTTCCAAGAATAATTGCAGCAACAATACACGTATTTCACATTCGGTCTGGGGCCCCCCTCACCTTACGGAGGCAGCAAGGCATCCGGAACAGCGCTCACGGTAGTTTCAGAAGGTGATTTGCAGAATGGAAACAGGCAAGAGCACTAAGCTTGGCTTAGCCTGCTGAGCTCCCCCCACACTTGAAAGAGCTGGGTTTTAACCAAACCTCTCTCTGAAACCAGGTATTCCTTTCGTACCGTGGCCAAACAGAAAAGAACAGCAGCCAGTCCCTACACCAAAGGATGATGTCCCCACGCTATTCCAGTAAGAAGAGTACGTTCGCATTATTAGGGCAAATACTCCACATATCCCAACAGCCCTGCAAACCTCAGTGCCGCAACCCAGAGAAGGCAAGACAGCGTAACACAGCCCTAACAGAAGGAACAATGTATTTTCTCATCTTATCAGTAATTACTTAACTGGAGGTACAACATTCACCCAAGTCTGAAGTCATCAATTCCAATGGACAGTGTTCACGATTTTATTGTGTGTATTTAAGGTCTATAAATTTGATGCCTTCTTTTTTCCAGCACCTGTCCTACAAAGTGTTTTAAACACGATAAATGATAAACTGAACATAAAACAGTGCAGTACAGATTGAAAATCATAACCTGAGGCCCAAGAATTAAAGCGCTGCTCTGAAAACAGGCTGAACTGTTTTCCAAAGAAATCACTGTACACCTCAGATGTATTCAGAATACAGTAAGAATACTCTGACAGAGCTCGAGAAAAAGCTGCGCTTTTTTATTCTACATATCCCCTTAAAAGTCAAACTCCATTTTGGAAATTAATTTGTAGTCGTGGATATTTGCTGTATTTCTTCTTAAAAGCAAAGGGTGAGAAGAAGAGCTCTGAATAATGACTTTAAGTTTGGCAGAATGTAATTATTACTTAGAAGCTACTTTATTATGGAAATTCAAAACATCCACACCATTCTGACACTTTTGTTTGCTGTGCTTGTGGTCAAGTTAAACCTTGCTTCACTCCACGGCTCCACAAGATATGCAGTGTTACTTCAGCCCCAATTCTGTCCAGCCTGTGCTTCAATCCCAGCACAACGAGCAGCCTCGTTGGATGTACTGAGCCCAAGAGAAGGCACATGTTTATAAAATGTACATAATCTGTGTGAAGGTGGTTGGCAGAACAGCAAACCGACCCCACGTACACAGTATCCTGAGCTCCCTCAACGCTTTCTTTAACACCGAATCCATTCTGAGAGACCCACACAGAACAGGAACCCACGTTGTTCTCACCAGAAGTGCACTCACAGCAGAGTATCTCAAGGACACGATCAAGTCGCACCTTACTGAAATGGCCTTCCCAGATGATGAAATGATGGAAGCGAGCCTACGTGACATTGTCTGACTTGAAAAAGAGTAAGGATTTAATCTCTAACTAATTTCAAGTGACTGACATCAGCCTCACAGATCTATCACCTTTAGTTGTTATGCTATATTCATCTCAATTTTTCTTCAATTTCTTCAATTACTTTTTAATTAAATAGTTAATACATTTCCAGGTAAGAGTGGTAGGACACACAGGACCTGCTGCATTTTAACACAGTCAAAGCAGATTTGGATAATGTGGTTAATTACTTTCTTACATTCCGAACACATACTGCTGAGATTTCAGCCTTATTCTGAGACGTGCTTTATTTTATCTGGCAACTGATGTGAAACAGAGCGCAATAAAGTAGTTTAAGGAAATAAGAGTTTATATTTTCTACCTTCTCTCCTAGTGATTTCAAATTTTTTGCTAAACCCACTGCATGTTAACCAGCTACACACACAGACATGTTTGAAAATTTAGCACACTACCCATATCGAAGCTCAGTTTAAGTCAAACCACAGACAGGTTTTTATGTTGTTAAAAACAAAGTGTCTCATTTCTAACAGGAGAAATCATCTACCTCAAAATAACAACTAGTGTCCAGTGATTTCCTGAAACCGGGTAGAGAGAATAAACCCAGCAGATCAAACATATTCCCTGCACTCACAGATTTTAGAGGAAATGTTATCTAATTTAGGCTATGAATTTTAAAATATACTCCAAACAGAGCATGCCAGGAATCCCTACAGTGCAGACGCAGTAGGAGCAAGGTGAATGGACAGCTCTTAGCAAATTCTTTTTAAAAGGCTTCTGTATGGAGACAGCAGCATTCCTAGGTTCCACAATGAACTATTTAGGCAGAAAAGCAGATGCACCACGAGTCTTACTGGTGTCACAGGAGCTCTCATCTTTGGGGAAACCACACCACTTCACAGAAACACCTAGATATGGGTTAGTGCCATTGTAATCCAACAGTACAATACAGCTGTTCCATTTGGGGAGATACAACTTTGAATTAGGTTAAACTTGAGCTGACTACCTTCCTTATTCCAACAGCACGTTTTTGATTCTTTGGAAATCAAATGTTTGTAGATGCTACTGTGCCAGATCTGCTTCTCTTCTTCAGCCCTCCAGCACACATCCCTCAGGTAAGTTCACTGTGAGAGCGCTTGCTGGTAAGGCAACCTGCCTAAAAACAGTCAAGAGAAAATTGACTCTTGTGAATGACCATCAACAGGACTCACTGCCATGCCATAAAAGCGAAGAGTTCCGTAAAATTCTGCAGATCTCTGCTTTAAATGGATAACAAAGCTTTAGACAGCTCTACGATGCGGATGGAAGAAACACTGAAAGAACAAACCCAAACCCTCCCGCGGTACAGAACAAGGCAGCTGCTCCGCGGGGAGAGGGGTTCATGGTGGGGTCTGGGCTTTGGAGAAGCTGCCTCATTCTTCTACGCTCGCTTTGCATTCCCCAAAGGTGTTCGCACGTGCTACACACCATTACCTGAGCGAGGACAAGCCCTTCCACGGCACCGCGCCCGGCGCCCCCCCGGCTAACGCTCACCCCCACGCTCCCACCTCCCCGGCCAAGGCGGCACTCCGTGCCACCACGTGGCATCACTGCTTTGCCATCGTTACCTGTCCTGTAATCACACAGCCCTGAAAAACCGGAATGCTCTCCGTTACGCAAGCAGTTGTTACGCAAAGAACGAGAGGCTGATAAATCTGCTGCTTGGCACTACTTAATGATTCCCAGCTTCAAAGCAGTCGCGCGCCAGCCAAACCTTTCAAACAGTTGTTAGAACCAACAAGGCAGAAAGAAATTGAACCACTTTCACTTTATGAAAGAAGGTTGGCAAAACGCCCACAGAACTTGCCCAAAGTTTAGCGTGAGCAAAATCTAAAGGAATTCAAGAGCCTGCTGATTTACAGCTCCTTTCATTAGACAGCATTTGTTTCCAAATAGCTATTTTTAGTTATTTTGGGTATGTCTTTCATATAGAAAGACATGCTTCCAAACAGATAAACAAAATATCAAGAGTGAAAGTCCAGTTTGTATATAGTTTAGTTCTAAGACAGTATGAAACTAAAGTGTGTTGCAGCTTTTCCATACATTTTTCTTCAAACATCCTGCTGGCAGAGCCTGTCTTCCCTACCACTGCTTCTCCCTGCAGTCCTTAAGACAGCAGGGTTTTGAGAGATATTCCACAGCCTTTTTATGGAATCCACTCAGATAACTAAAAAAAGCTCATTAACAAACAGCCTAAAATCCACTATATAAACCTCCACAATGCCTCTGAAAGAGCATTTACACTTTAGCAAGTCATGAAAAAAACGTTAAAAATATCCCAGCTTCTCAGCTACCTCCTGAGCCCTCTTCAGGAAATTTCCACCTGAAAAAAAAAAAGACTTGCTGAAGGATCTGCACAACCTATCATACATAAGCCTTCTATAACTCTGGGCAGCACATGCCAAGATACCCTATATAATTAGGGAAAACCAGAGAGGGCACAGGCACTACTTGCCCCCTGCTCAGCGGTGTGACAGGCAGTTCTGGCCCAGCGTGCCCCCGGCTGTGCCCGTCTCCCCGGGCTCTAAGGGCATCTCTGGCTCGCTGTTCAGTGGCCTGGGCACAGCAAGAGAGAAACAAGGCTCTTGCCTTCCCCAGAGGTACCGGCAGCACCTCACAGTACTCAGGAGCACGATGAAAAAAGCAAAAAAGGACACGCATGTTTTGATACTTCTATATAAAAAGCAGCTATTTTAAAAGAAATTTAAAGTCTTCCCACTGCCTTAGTTACTTTCATATCGCTGATCAGAAATATCAAGCAAGATGAACTAAATTTAACCTTTTATATAAGCTTTAACGTCCCTCAAGACTTTATGAATAAAGTTAGAATTTTAGTTACCTAAACTAATCAAAAAAAGCATTTCTACAGGGTTTCTCCACTGCAATTAAAGAGCTAAACAAAGGAACAGGTAGCTTACATAAAACCAGGAACAGCCACAAACAATTCTCTAGTCAATTTATCTCCACTTGCATATTCTGTAATTCCTTCAGGCACTTCCCACCTACTTTAAAGAACAGTCACCAAAAAATTTATCAGAAGCCAAAGGGAAAAAAAAAAAAGCCTTGTATAAAGCAGTCATCCTTTCCATCTTTTCCCCTCCAATGCAACAAGTGAGAAAGGCAGGTAACTGTTTAAGACAGCTAGGAGGCTTGCCCATTCGGGGGATTTGATACTATCAACA